GACTCCAAAGCTCCCTGGGCAGCCCCTGCCAAGGCCTGAGCACCCTTTCCATGGGCAAATTCCTCCTGAAAAAGGACCAGCAAAGACTATTGCATCCAGGTTCTGACCCTGCAGAATCCCAACACATGCCTCACTTCTCATGCAAACATGTTTTAATTGACTTGGAGCCTTTCACTGTATTGCTTTAATTTTCTAGGAAATCTCCTGGGTCTGGAATGTGGGTCCCGGGTGACACTGCCGGGGGTTGGGGGCTGGATACAGCAGAAATGCACCAAGAGCCTCCTGKGCATAGCACAGAGCTGTCCTGACCCTGTTTGTCCCTGTATCCCTGCAAAGGGATCCAGCAGGGTGGGCTGAGCCCTGGAGCCACTCAGTGCCACAGGCTCTGGGGTCCAGAGCTGAGCGTGRTGAAGGGATGACAGTGACACCTTGAATGCACAAGGTCAGGCATAAGAGCCAGCATATCTGGGAGAAAGATGAATTYTAGTGAAACAGCTCTGAGTTATCCCTCACCACTAGAATTCGGGCAAAACCATCCCGAAATGGGCAAAAGCAGGATTTTTATTGCAGAGGAGCTGCCTCCAGGACATGCTCATTTAGGGCGGAGGTTTTCCTCGATGGTTTGCTCTCCCACCCTTGCCCTCATCGGGGCTCCATCTCTCAGCACAGGAGGGACTCAGGCTGTGGCTTCCACCAGACCCTCAGCCCTGGGCTGCAGGGGACATTGGAGGGGGACAGCCCGAGGGAGGGACACGGRCAGTGGGGGTAGGAAGGGAGGGCAAGGACAGTGGGGCTGAGGGAGCAAGGGTTTTCCAGCTGTGCCCAGGTGGAAACAGCACCGCAGCCCAGCGCAGTGCCGCTGCGGAGCTGTCCTGGCCCCGCAGGGCTCGGGCTGGTGTCACCTCCCCGGCACACACCGAGCTATCAGCCGGGCCGGGGCTGGGTGCGCCCCCCGCCTGGCCGTGCCCTGCTCACCGCTATCGCCCGCGGGCAGCCCGGAGCCCAGCCCGGAGCCCCCCCTGCAGCCCCAGATAAGGCCAGCCGRGCTGGAACGGGCTCTTTGCTGCCCGGGAGGGTCCCTGCAGGGGGTGGCTCCGGCCCCACCGCACGGGGACAGACTCACGGACAGACTGCCGTCCACATGTCCAGTCATACCAAAGGGCAGTTCTACCATAGAATCCTGGAATCCTGGAAGTATTTGGGTTGGAAAAGACCCTAACTCATTTCATTCTATCCCTGTCATGGCAGGGA